TAATTTAAATAAATAAAAGTAATATTTTATTTTATTATATTTCAGGGGTGCTACATTGCTAGAATTTCGAAATGCTGCTATTATGAAAAAATATTATGAATCTGGCAAACGTTTACCTATTCCAAATGGATGTCCTACAGAAGTTTATAGACTAATGCTTGAATGTTGGGGAGACTCAAGTGGCTCTAGAAAACAACCACAAGCAATTATGAGAGATATAAATCAAACTTTATACCAAGTATATAATTCTCGTAGAAGTCATGCTTACGCGACGGCATTCCCTAAATTATTTACTTCTGAATTGAAAAAATTTGATCAAGATAACTCTGATTCCTGTGACAATAGATCAATAAATAGTGAGTCAAGAACTAGTAGTCTTTTTACAGACAATACAAGTCTCCATTGGAATGATACGGATAATAGTAAGACAATCTACTTATTATAATAACATTGTTTTAATCAAAATCTTTAACTGTGTTTTGTGTCATTTTAGGTATGCAGGGTTTAATAAATACCAATGAAAACTATGTAGGTAGTACAGAAGACCTATCTGCATATTTAGGTTGGTTATCTAATGCAAGAAGAGATTCAGAAGGTTGTTCAGTCTCTCAAAATAACATTCCTAACATGAATTGTATTGAACACTCCACTCAAGCTCTCCGAATAGGACATCCTAGTGATTTAGGCGAGGTAATAAAGTTAAGAAAAGAAAATCGACGGAATTTCAATTATATCTTAATCAACATTGTATTTCAATTCATTAATTATTTTTTATGAGTGGAAGGAATCAAAATTATTTAATCAAAGTATATTTTCTTAAAATGAATAATTGTGCTCATTGCTATAAATTTGTTTTTTATTGATAACTTTCACACAATAAATAAAATAATGAAAATATATTATTATTATCAAAATATGAAGTAGTAATGGTTCTTTAGGTCAAATGCGAGGCATTTATGAATTGGATATTGATTGCAATGTTATTTTACAAGGTAGAATTGGTCAAGGTTTTTATGGCGAAGTTTATAGAGGTACACTGGAAAGAGAAAATGGAAAAGATGTTGAACCACAACAGGTTGCTATAAAAAAGTTAAAAACTAGAGCACTTGAAGCGGATATAAGAGATTTTGAAAGAGAAATTGCTATAATGAAGGTAATTTACATCTTACATGATTTTAACATCAATATTTTAATAACGAAATGTAATAAATGTTAATTAATGTGGCCGTAGACCTTGAAACATCCAAATGTAGTACAAATTCTCGGAGTAATATCAGAGCCCGAAGTTTGTCTTGTAATGGAATATGTAAAGCATGGTTCATTACAGAGTTATTTAACAATTCACAAACAGAAATTGACATGTAAGAGACTATTAGGTTTTGCTTTGGATATTGCGACAGGGATGGATTACTTAGGTAGCAAGAGTATTGTACACAGAGACCTTGCTGCAAGAAATATTTTAGTTGCGGACGAAAATAAAGTAAAAATCAGTGATTTTGGGCTAGCTCAAGTCACTGGAAAAAACGATTATTATATCTTACAAACTGATCGTGGCCTTCCTATTAAATGGCAAGCATCGATAAATTTGATCAAATTAATCTTTTTTGTTTCTGAAATTTTATCAAAATTTTTATTTTATTAGGTATGCTCCAGAAAGTATTAGAGACGGAAAATTTTCTACTCGATCAGATGTATGGTCTTTTGGTGTAACGATGTATGAAACATTTGGCTTCGGAGAGGAACCACGTTTACCTGGTCTCGATTCGAGCACAGAACGTCTTCAGAATGAACAAGAAAAAGGAAGTACTGAACTATTAGCTGCACTAGAAAGAGGTACTCGTCTTCCTTGTCCTTCTACCTGTCCACAAGCAATTTATGTAAAACTTATGTATCCTTGTTGGCATTTACAAAGCCACCAGAGACCAGATTTTGCAACTCTTTGCAAAGATATTAGAGATCTTCTTGCTCAATATTAAGAAAGAATAAACAGTAAAAAATATATTAAATAAAATTCAAATCATACATCACTTCATAAAAACTTAAGTTTAACACTAGGTTTACGGGACGCGTCATTTTTACGCATTTCGAATTTTACTAGGAAAATTACAGAAATCGTTTACATTTCTCTCCTACCACTTACGCTTATTATAAATTTTATACAAATATATAATATCACATAGTTTCATTTATAAGTTAACAGTGTATAATATGTTGTTTTTAACTAAAATAAGTTGTTTTTTAAAGAAAATATGCGGTGTCGTTCACTCGTCAATTTGACGCGTGTCCATAAAGATAGGTATATAAGAAATGTCTGTAAACCTAGTGTTAATTGTGCAAAAACTCCAGTAATTTTTAATTTTCAAGAGTTTAATGAACATTAAGTAGTAATAGAATTACATAATTATTTTGAAAATTATAATTCAACAATTAAATAATCATAAATATTTGACGTTTTCTCAGAGTGCGATTATTTGATTTTAATTTAAATATATAGAAAATTAGCACTATAACATAAACATAAATATCAAAAATATTTGACAATCTTAAGAAATTCAAGTCTACATGTTTTGAAATATCATCAAAAAGTTAAGTTTCAATTAATGATTCGATAAAAGAGGTATCTACATGCTGTTATATTTTTTAAATTTAGTATTTATATCTTAGAATAAGTTTAAATTATGGACTTATAAAAAGATACGAGTTATATATGAAATTCTATGTAAAGAGAATTCTATGTTAAAATTCTTTCCTTACATGTCCAGAAAAGTTCCTTTTATTTAACATCATAAATATTTTTTTGTAAAATTAAAAATAGATATCTTTTCTTTTCACAAAACAAAATATTACATTATTAAGTGAATAATTAATTATCTTATCAATTATTTGACAAAATGGAGATTCAAATAAAAAAGTTAAATGAGAAAGATAATAGCGGTAGTACTAAGAAAATATTAGCTATACTGATATCTTACTGCCGTCAGTAAGTACGTTAAACTTAAAACGGGTAAAATTTACACAATTTTTTAGTACTGGCGTAATTAATATTGAAAAATAAGACTTGTAATGTCTTTTCATAATTTTAACTTTTTAATAAGTATCAAGATTTTACTAGACCCTTTTAAGTACAAAATATATGTATGTATATATTTCTA